GGTTTCCCTTTTCTTTGTTGAAGAGCGTCTGTGCAGTCCTTCTGCCTAGTTCACCATCTTGCCGGAACTCTCCTCCTGAACCTTTCATTTTTTTTTTAATTTTTACTATGATGTGGGTGCAAATTTACAAAGCAGATTCATTTTACACACAACAGTTCATGCACATTTGGTTTCATGGCCCCAATTCCAATCTCCAACCATAAAAAAGCTCTACTTCCCTGTGCCCTTCTTATCTATGCATTCCTATCTACACAGCTTTCCCTCTATACAAATGCTGCCCTTCTGATGTCTCATGGTTGACTGAAGATGACTCACTCTTAACCTGATCACCACATCTATCATCCACAGTTTGCAGGTTAGCGATATGTCTTGCATCTATGTGTGTCTTATACTCCACGCTCAGATTGTTGGGTCCATCCAGGCAGCTGTTGTTTTTATTTATTTGTTTCTGTTGACCTACTAAACACTCTGGATTGATAAGCATGGTGCAGGGGATGGAGGGAGGTTGATGAGTAAGTCAATATTACACTATATCCAGGGGAGAGCTTACAGGGTCCTGAATTTAAACACATAGCTCTAAAAGCACTTCTCCATTCCTGGTTTTCACTGATTCTTATCCCAGTCTGTTTCTTTGGGGTTCTGAACAGATTGCCTAATACATATCCAGTGTCCTATTCAAGGTCTGGGTCAAACCAGGGCTTTGAACCAGTTCATTTCAGTTCAGCCTACTGCTGAGTTGGGCCATCTAGCCATTCTCACCAAACAGCCAAATATGTAAGGGAGCCATCTTAGACATTCCAACCTCTAATGGCTTCAGCCCCAGCCAAAATCACATGGGGCAGAATGGCTGGGTCCAGTCAACCCACAGATTAGTGAGAAATAATAAAATGGTGGTTGCTTTGAGCATCAAATTTTGGGATGGTTTGTTATACAAAAATAGATAAACCAAATAACTCAATCAAACCAAACTCATTGCCTTTGAGTGTATTCTGACTCATAGTGACCCCCTTTGGGTTTCCAAGGCAGTAAATCTTTATGAAAATAGCCCATTCTTCCTTCCGCAGAGCAGGTGGTGGGTTTAAACCACCAACCTCCTGGTTAGCAGTCAAATGCCTTACCCTCTATGCCATCAGAGCCTAAATATCAAACCAAACCCACTGCCATCGAGTTGGATCTGATTCATAGCGACCCCTCCTTGGGTTTCCGAGGCAATATCACTATGGAAGTAGATTCCCCAACCTTCCTTCCGAGGAGTGGCTGGTGAGTTTGAACCTCCAGTCTTCCAGTGTAAAGTCAAATGCCTTAGGCACTACACCACCATAGTGACTATTTATTCCATATGATTTAGAAAGCCAGTCCCACAATATTTATAGTCATCCAGTGTCAAGGTCCCAGGGAAGGAAGATCTACAAGCAAAAGTTGCTGGAGGAAGATGAGAGGAAGAGGTTGGCTCTATAGAGAAAAGCACTGAAAGCAAATTTCAACTGCCTGTTTGGCCAGGTCAGTTCTAACAGGAACATCTGCATTTGGCCATCAGTCCCACTATTCTGTTTCACGGGTGCTAGCTTTCTCTTAGGTGAACCTATGATTTGAAACAATGTGCCTGTCATGTAGTGCCTGCTAGAATGAAACTAAGATTACATGTTCAGTTCTCTCGTGATTATTTTGGTTCTGTTACAGGTCTTGCTCACGTTAGGTTTCATCCAGTCAGATCTGACTCATAGTGACCCTATGCTCATCATAACCAAACACTGCCTGGTCCTGCGCCATCCTCACAATCGTTGCTGTGTTTCAGCCCACTGCTGCAGCCACTGTGTCAACCCATCCCATTGAGGATCCTCTTTTTTGCTGATCCTCTACTTTACCAAGTATGATGTCCTTCTCCAGGGGCTGATCCCTCCTCATAACATGTCCAAAGCACAGAAGATGAGGTATCACCATCTACAGGGATAGTGGCCCTGAAACTTGAACATCAATATGTGCAATCAGTCCCAAGGGGGAACAGGCCAGATTCATAAGTCCACCAGAAAATGGCTTACTTGTATCTTTACTCATGGAAGGTCACGTGGAGGGTCAGGAAAATCATTGTCATAAAGGCAGGAGAAGATATTTTAAGCACTCATAGTTTCATAGAGTAAGACTGTTACTCTCTTCACTGTCAAGGAAAGCAACCAACTGAAAATTCTTGCTTGACAAAAGAAAAATAAAGGCATGAAAGCTATCTAGGTCTAACTAGTAGCCAATGGCCTACCACCATGTGCTTAGCTGAGGTCTGTGCTCCATAGGGTTTTCTATGACAGTGACCTTTCAGAAGCAGATCACCAGGCTTTTATTCCACGGTGCCTCTAGGTGTATTCAAACCTCCGACCCTTCACTTAGTAGCAGAGTGTTTAACCATTTGTGCCACCCAGGGACATCTAGGTCAGTAACTGGTTTACAATGGTAACATCTCTTTTACTAATATCTATATAAGATTTTAAAGAGATATAATAAAACGTGTTAACCACATGAATATTACTGCAAGCACTTTTAATCATTGTAAAAGAAAAGCCATTTTTTTGTTGTTGTTGGTTCCTGGTATTTACCCATGTGTATTCAAATTAATGTAGAAATAATAGCCATCATTTCATTTAATGTTAGCGAGGTGTTACATTATAAAAGTTTCTATATAAAATTATATTCCCTAATAGAAAAAAAGAGAAATATTAGAAAATTGTTAACATTAAAATAGCTATAAAATACATTGTCAACTCTAAGAGGTTTGCAGCCTTAGGGAGCCCTTCCCCTTTGAATATAAAATTCTAGTAAATATCACAGCCAAAGAGTTCCAGGCGAAGTGCAATACTTTGATTCCATGTTTTAGGAATGATGCGGATAAACCTGGAAATGATTGGTGGATTGAAAAAGTTCTTCACGTGTCCTTTGGTATTAGTATTTCCTTTGAAAATCTGAAAGCAAAATATGAGAAAATTTTTGATGATAACATAATGGGTACAAAAAACTTACAAACGAGTTTCTTTTATCCTTTTTGTTCGAATTGAGGGCATCAAAGAACACGTACAACACAAAGATGGTCCCCAAATCAATTATGAAATCAAATGCCAGTCAGACCTCTTTAGGATCACATCACCAGTGGAACTGAATTAGGGAAAAGTAAAGAATCAAGGAATTTCACATGGTGCTAAGGAGCAGCCAGAAACCCATCTCTCCCCTAAGCGACTCTGAAGCTGTGTGATTTTGAGCAAGTTACTTATATTCTCTGATTTTCCCTTTGCTCATTGGGGAAATGGGGATAATAAAATTTTACCTCCCAAAAGTTGCTGGAAAGACTAAAAAATATTTGTAATCATATGTCAAGTGCCTAGTAAGTGCCAGATGGTGGGCACCAATAAATGGTTAACTACTGCCAACGTTCTAAATGAAATGTGACCATGTGATTAGGCATATGCCCTGTATCGCAAACTAAATGATGTTTTATGTTTTTTTTTTTTCATCTTTAGCAAATTCCCTAAGATTTACACACCAAATCAAAAAACAAACTCACTGTCGTCAAGTGGAACCTGACTCATAGTGACCCCTCCTTGGGTTCTGAGGCAGTATCACTACGGAAGTAGATTGCCCAACCTTCCTTCTGAGGAGTGGCTCGGGGGTTTGAACCGCCAGCCTTCTGGTTAGCAGTCAAATGCCTTAGGCACTATGCCACAGCAGAAGCTAAATCAGCGTTAATTTTTGACAAAAATAATGGTGCTTATCCTGCTATGAGCACCTCCTGGTGAAGTGAACAGTGCAAGAAACAAAACCAGACAAATAAAAATAAATCAGGGATTTAAAAGAGAGAAATTGGTTCAAATTCATTAACACAGATAAATAATGGGCACATGGTGAACACTCAATAAATAGTAGCTCTTTTTTCCTGTGCTGTTCTTACTGGCTTCAGCCCCATTCCCATTCCTGGAATATCAGGCACCTCTCCCTAGCTTTGACTCAGATGGGATTCCGAAACCACATAATTAGTAAGTAGAAGAATTTGTGAGTGTATTGAGTAGTTAAATTTTGCAGGAAATTCAGTCTTCCCATCAATAAGGATACCAATTTTTTTCTATTTAATAATAATACAACACAAAAATGTTAAGGGCTTGGATATTTGATTGTTCATGAATGAAAAGTATTAAAGGTAATGTTTGTATGGTATTATTTCATAATGGAAGGTTTTCTGGACCCCTTTATCATCTTTCCTAGTCAGAGCTAATTAAGCCTTACACCTCCCCTGGTGTTTTATTCTCAGGGCTTCAAATCAGTTTATTTTGGTTTGAACCCTGCTGAGAATTTGCATTTCCACCCCACCCATACTAAATCATAATCTTTCATTTTAACAAGATCCCCAGTGAGTCTCATAGATCTCCAGGTGATTCTTAAGATCACTTGGGATTTTGATAAAATGTAGATTCTGATTCAGTATATCTGGGATGGAAATGCAAGCTCTCAGCAGGGGGTCAAACCAGAATGAAAGGGTGCCAAGCCCTGTTTTTTCTATGTCACAGGTGGCTCAGTCAAAGCAGAGATGTACATAGTATGGTTCTTGTCCCAAAACCAGGTGCTTGCAGAGCTATTAATTAGAAGACTAAGAGATGTGGTGCTAGTCAGTGTATTTTTGTCAAAGTAAGATGTCATTATTCTCATCACAGCACAGTTTTCAAATTGCTTTCCTTTTGCCAAGCTGACACCCCGTACCTTGTCCACCATGAAGAATGTCTGCCTATAAGGTTTCCATTCCACTCCCTGGTTGCTGTAGTGGATAGCATAGCTCTTCACAAACATTTCAGAGGACAGAGACTTGCAGCCCTGTGTCACAATCGCAGTTATCTTCTTGATTTTGAGGAGATCAATCTGTAGCCACTGTTTGTTGTTGTTTGCCTATGAGAATGATAAAAACACATGGAAGGCAGCTGTTAAGACCTCTGGGTTTTTTTTAGACCAACATACTCAGAACTGCTCAGAGTTTAAAAGGATTTCTTTACCATCTCATCCTTTAGGAGTCACTGTCTCCATGAAGTCTTCCCTGATCCCTTTGTGTTTGTTGCACATGTATAATTTTTTTTGGCAAATTTACCACACATTATACATTTTTTTAAAAAAATGTGTTTATACCCCTACTTTTTGAGGGAAGAGGGTTATTATTTTTATGCCCTGGTTTTTACCATAATGCATGGCACACAGTTGGTGTTCAATAAATATTTGTTAAAGGAATGAAAGAATGAATTTTACTTAAGAAAATATATTAAACTGCTAAATTATCTGTAAATATCATTTTCTTAAGCAAGTTTGTTTAAATACTATGAAGCTATTGTTTAGGGTCATCTGGGAAAGAATAGGATGGCATCTTTCTCTCTAATTTTTTATTTTAGAAAGTTTCAAACATGCAAAAACACAGATGAACACCTATAGATTGAATTGTGTCCTCCAAAAAATATGTGTTGTAAATCTGAACATCTATTTTGTGGTTATAATCCCATTTGGGAATGGGTTGTATTTGTTACAAGATAGGATTTATGTAGAGTGTGTCTTGAGTTAGTGTCTTTTGAGACATAGAAGAGATTAAAACAAGCTACAAAGGAGAGAGATGGTAAAACAGATGTCAAGACACCTGGAGATCTCCAAGGAACCAAGAAGCAGAAGCTGAAGAGACAAGGACCTTCCTCCAGAGCTGATAGAGAAAGAACAACCCCTTCCCCTACAGCCAGCACCCTGAATTCCAATTTCTAGCTAACTGAAAAGTTTGAATACAACAGGTGATCTGCAGGAGAACGATAAGGCAGTCTGCTTCCCTAAAGATTATAGTCTTGAAAACCCATTCAGACCAGTGTATTCTGACCTGTTGTTGTTGTTGTTGTTACGTGCCGTCGAGTCGGCCCCGACTCACAGCGACCCCTCCTTGAGTTTCCGAGGCAGTATCACTACAGAAGTAGATTGCCCCATCTTCCTTCCGAGGAGTTATAGGGTCACTATGAATCAGAATTGACTCATTGGCAGTGAGTTTGGTTATTTATTTATTGGTTTAAAACTGTGAGAAAATAAATTTCTCTGTGTTAAAGCCACACACTTGTGGTATTTTTGTTGTAGCAATACTAGATAACTAAGACATGAACCCTGTACGCCCATTACAGCTTCAAGAATATCAACAAATACATAACCAATTTTGTCTCATCTTTCCTCTCACCGACTGCCCACTCTGAAGTTATGTTGAAGGAACCCATAGACATCATATTATTTCATCTATAAATAATTCTTTCTTAAGCCCTCTCCAAGTTCAAGTATTAAAGTAAATGTACACAATACTATACTGTGTACACAATACTATATTGCACAGTTTTAGCTCTTTCATAGTCTTGCAGGAGTTAAGCGCTTGGCTCCTAACTGAAAGGTCGGTGGTTCAAACTCACCTATGACTCTGTGTGAGAAAAGACCTGGCAATTTGCTACTGTAAAGATTATAGCTCAGGAAACCCTATGGAGCAGTCCCTGTCTGTCACATGGGTCACTATGAGTTGGCATTGACTTGACGGAACAACAACAGTAGTCTTGAATTATATTTATTTACTTTCAGGGGCTCAGGCCTACAATATTGTGGCCTGGCTAACAAATATACTAAAACAAAAACACTACATCTACTAAGAGTACTCTTGTGAACATAAAACCAGGCCAGAGGGGTGGCATCACCAATTCCATGAACAAGGCCCCAGCACATGTTTATTGCTGTTTCTCGTTCTACCTCTGAAGAAGACCGAATGCACAAAGGCAAATACTATTGGTTATAAGAAGGTCTTTATAGTTGAGAAAACCCCAACTATTCTTTTCTTGCCACTGTTAATGTCAAATAGGAAAACTAGTCCAATTTCTTCTTTGCTGGTATTTAAAAAAATATAGTATTTGAGAAACCTGATAAATCCACACCCAAAGCTTGATATATTGCACTGTGATTGTCATGTCTCTGGCCTAACAAGATGCTTTAGAATTGATCTAAAAACACTTGGTGATTTGTACTTGGAGAAAGGGGATCAGAAGGACAATGAGTTTTGGAGTTATGTGAGATGAATTTTCACTTTGGGAGATTTATTATGTTCCATAAATTCAAAAACTCACTGCCATCGAGTTGATTCCAACCCATAGCAACCCCCACTGGGTTTCTGAGGTGGTAAATCTTTATGGAAGTAGATTGCCTCATCTTCCTTCCACAGAGCAGCTGGTGGGTTTGAACTACCAGCCTTCTGGTTAGGAGTCAAATGCCTTAGGCACTGCACCACCAGAGCTCCATTATGCTCCATGTAGTCACATTCAACTCTATATGAAATAATGAATATTGAAATGTGTTTTCTCAACATCACCCATATGCATGTGTTTGCGTGTGTATGTACACACACATATATGTGTATATATATGCATATATTCACATGATATGTGTATTTAAAAAACCAATCAAATGATCATATTAGAGACTTTTTTGTTAATTTTTTTAACAACTTCTAGGGATGTCTAGAAGGAGTTCTGGTGGCGCAGTGCCTAAGGCATTTGACTGCTAACCAGAAGGTTGATAGTTCAACCCCAGCAGCCGCTCTACAGAAGGAACTTGGGGCAATCTATTTCTGTAAAGATTTACCACTTTATCTGAATGGTGACTTAATGTCTCTTCAAATCAAGTTGGGACAGTGATACAAAATGAAGGATTTTTGAAGGCACAACAGAGGTATGGACACGTCAGTCACAGAAGGATGGATGTCTGCTTGCATAAGTCTAGCTTAGACTTCAGCCTCTCAAAGAAGAACCTATTAAGGATATTTCATGCTAATGGAAGGCTAACTAAAACAAGGATTTCAAATCTGTTGTTGTTGCCATGTACAGACAAATCAGCCCGACTCATAGCAACCCCTCCTTGGGTTTCTGAGGCAGTATCACTACGGAAGTAGATTGTTCAACCTTCCTTCAGAGGAGTGGCTGGTGGGTTTGAACCATCAGCCTTCTGGTTAGCAGTCAAGTGCTTTAGGCACTATGCTACCAGAGCTCCCATTTCTAATCTAGTAGTCCAAGTTTTAAAACGACAGAGTTAAAAATTAAAATTAGCACTTCATCTTTGGGGTCTTTTTCACAAAGACTGACAGCAAACTATATAAACACCAGAAAATATAAAATGCTGTAAAATAAGGGGTGGGGGTGTCAAGGCTATACCATGAACAGGTCTAAAAAGGTCATTTGGGAAAGAATTGGATGGCATCCTCTCTCTTTAACTTTTTGCTATTTTATTTACATTATTATAAAAGTATATAAATATCATATAACACATTATTATTTTAACTTACCTGGGCCTCAGTTTCCCCCTCTGAAAAATTTCAGAATGAGGTATTTGAGCTGCCTGAAATGGTGGAAGGAGCATTGGTCTGCTTTTCAGGAGAATGGGGCTCCAGTCCTCGTTCTGCCACATATTAAACTAAAATTACTTAACCTCTTGTGTGTTTAGACATGAAAGTAAAAGTCTGGACTCGCTGTTTTGCAAAACCTCCTGTCATTCTAATATTCTATGATTCTATAATGGGCCAGAAATGAGTTTTAAAGCACAGACATCAGTTCCCAAACTGTCAGGGAGTGAGATCCAAGCTCTTCCATGTAGTTCACAATCACCATGTTTCTCTTTTTCTTTCAGTGGCCTACATTAAAGATAGGACCATGGAGTCTACGTAGAATATAGGCAATTGGAGTGTAGGTATCTACATCTGCCATTCTAATCTCTTAGGCCAGCTGAAGAGTGAAACAAAAAGGACTCAACTATTAATATTTTTACTTGGAACCACAATCAACACCCAGGGAAACAGCAGTCAAGAAATTAAATGATCTATTACATTTGTCACATAAGAGCTCTTTAAAGCATTAAAGAGCATTAAAGAGCAAAGATGTCATGTGAAGAACTAAAGTGTGTGCCTTACCCAAGCCAGGCATTTTCAATCACCTCATACGCATGTGAAAACTGGACAAGGAATAAGGAAAACCAAAGAAGAATGATGGCTTTGAATTATGGTGTTGGCAAAGAATATCAAATATACTATGGATTGATAGAAGAACAAACACATTTGTTGGAAAAAGTACAACCAGAATGCTTTTTGGAAGCGAGGATGGTAAGACTTCATCCCACTCACTTTGGACATGTTATCAGGAGGGACCAGTCCCCTAGAGAAGGACATCATGTTGGTAAAGTGGAGGTCAGTGAAAAAGGGGAAGATCTTCAACGAGACAGACTGACACAGTGGCTGCAACAATGGGCTCAAACACAGCAATGACTGTGAGGATGGGGCAGGACTGGGCAGTGCTTTGTTCTGTACTGCATAGGGTCAATATGAGTAGAACCAACTCGATGGCACCTAACAACAACATTAATAATTACTCTAAAATTAAATCACCTGAATTATTTTATGGGTAATATTGGAACAATATAACCTCTTCTAGTTAGCAGTCAAATGCCTTAGGCACTTACAGCACCAGAGCTCCTTTATTAAACTTAGACCACTGATTTATAACCCTGGTTTTACAGCATTTTAGCATGCCTTAAATTATCTCAAGGGATGTTACAAATATCTCAAAAAAAAAAAAAAAAAAAGTACACTGCTGGTGGGACTGTGAAGTGATACAACCACTGTGGAAAGCAATATGGTGATTCCTTAGAAAGCAGGAATTGGAGATACCATTTGACCCAGCAATCCCATTACTAGGTATATATCCTAGAGAGGTGAGAGCCAAGACAGGAACAGATATATGCACACTCATGTTCATCACAGCACTATTTACAATAGCAAAAAAATGGAAACAACCTACATGCCCATCAATGGAAGAGTGGATGACCAAACTATGGTACATACACATAATGGAATGCTATGTAGCACTAACGAATAATGTAGAGTCTGCAAAACACCGTATAACATGGATGAACTTGGAGGACATTATGATGAGTGAAATAAGTCAATCATGGAAGGACAAATATAGTATTAGTTCATTGTTGTAGAGGGTCAAGGAAAGGTTTATATATGGAAGGAAACTTTGTTGGTTTCCCAGGGTGGGAAGGGAGGGGAGGGAACATTGCAAACAAACAAAAAAAAATGCATTGAAAAAAAATGGGAACAAAAGAATTTAAATGGGTTAAGGCATTTGACTTCTAACCAGAAGGCTGGCATTTCCATTTCTTGGAAAGAAGGTTGAGCAATCTACTTCTGTAGTGATACTGCCTCAGAAACCCAAGGAGGGGTCGCTATGAGTCGGAAAATGACTCGACAGCAGTGAGTTTGGATTTTTTTCTTAAGAAAATAAAAAGATATTGCTAAATGGAGGGGAATAAAAAGAAGAGAAGATGTTGCAATTCTAAATCATTTGTTTATCACTAAAGTAAAGTGTCTAAATCAGGAGTAGGCAAATTACTGTCCCTGGGCCAAATTAATTCAGCCACATATATATATATATTTTTTTTGTAAATAGTTTTATTGGAACACAGCCATGCTCACTCATTTACGTTGTTTATGATTGCTTTCCTGCTATAATGGCAGAGTTGAGTAGTTATGAGAGAGAATGTATGGCCCACAAAACAAAATATTTACTATCTAGTCCTTGCTAATCCCTGCTCTAAATTAAGGCCAGACCAAGAACCACAGAGATGATAAATGACTTCTCTTTCAGCCAAAGATTAAAGCTAAAACTATAATGTCAGCAGACATTCTAGATTTTGGAACCTAGAATTTTAATCTGCAGAAGCAGGATACAATACACCTGCTTCCTGCCTACCCCCACACCCCTCCCCACACACATTTTCCCTGTATAAAAGGCCTTTGTTTTGTAGGGCTGCTAGAACTCCATTCACAGGGGCTACTTCACCTTGGCTTGCCAGGCGTTCACACGGCCCTGGGCATTGAGCCGGGCATACCAGGGTTCCCAGTAATCTCCCCACCAAGACTTTTTAAATGAGGAAGCTGTGATTTGCTTGTTTTCTATCTTTCCACTTTCCATACCGAGTGGTGTAGAGCAGCCTGTCAAGAGAAAAGTAATGTAATTAATAATGCACCACCTACATGCCCTGCATGCCATTTTGTACTGTACAGGAGATAAGAGGTAATATTACCACCAAGTAACAACAAAAACAACCACCACAATGATTATTAATGAATCCAAGTGTCAAAATTACAAGCTTTAAATGTATTAGTTAATGCCTGTAATTTCCCCCACTTTACAAATGAGAAAGTCAAAAGCTCAGGAAGAGAAAGAAACTTCTGTAAAGTAATACAGCTAGAAGAATTAGACACTGAATTTGGGCCCAGGCAGTCTGACATCAACTGCATGTTCTAAACATCCAAACTCACTTCTCTCCTTAAGAGTCATGACCTGAAACGGCATGGCACCTTTGGTCTTTGCTTTGAGGTATGTTGTTTGTTGTTGTTATGTGCCATCGACCCCGAGGACTCATAGCGACCCCTCCTTGGGTTTCTGAGTCAGTATCACTAGGGATAGTAGATTGCCCAACCTTCCTTCCGAGGAGTGGCTGGTGGGTTTGAACCGCCAGCCTCCTGGTTAGCAGTCAAGTGCCTTAGGCACTATGCTACCAACACTATTAAACTACCAATCCATCTGAAAACATACTCAGTTTCTTTTTCTAATAAAAGCTACAGAGAAAAAAATATGGTAGACCATTGGTAGTCACCATTTAATATTTTCTTTTTCAACCCTTTAAGAGTGATTCATGTTATGCACGCTGGAATTTTGCCAAGGCATGAATTTGAACTTCATAGGTGGCAAGCCTGATCTATGAGCATAAGAAACAGATCTAGAGAGCAAGTCTCGCTGACTGCCTATCATGCTTGTCTCTGTGAGACTTTGTTCTCTTTGGTAAATCATGAAGCAATTTCTTAAAGTGGTAGCACTTTATTTTCTCCATGAAAACAAAAACAACACACAAAGAAAAGTAAGGCTTCTGCATATCAAGGAAAGGAAGAGACTTTTTTTTTTTTTTTAAAGTAATGTTTCTTCTGAAGAAAATAGATGTCTTAGATATATTAACAGTTAAATGTCACATTTTAGGGTAGCTTTAGGGTAGCTTGACTCTATGGAAGGAGCTCTTATGGCACTGTGGTTAAAGCATTGGGCTGCTAATCAAAAGGCTGGTGGTTCAAACCCACCAATCACTCCCAGGGAGAAAGATGAGGCAGTCTGCTTCCATTCTGTCATCTGAGAGGTCACTATGAGATAAATCAACTCCATGTCAATGGGTTTGTTTTTATTTGACTCTATGACTTGAACAAATCTACCATTTACACTATATACCATATGAAGACAAACAAATAATGGTTTATGGAGCTGTACAAAATCTGCATTTTACATAGGAAATGTTAAATACCACTGCTATCTGAACATTGCCAAAATGCTCATCTTCATATCTCTCATGAATGTTAAGGGTATACTGTGCCATTATCTGGTTGATAAGAAACTGATTCCAGGGTTCAGCTACTTTTTCCACTGTGAGTCATGGCGTCTTCCCGCCACCCTGAGAGAAGGTACTCCAGCTCCCAAAAGGTGTGCCACAGCCAGTTTCAGGTGTGCCTGTGTATGACTCCCTCCCCGCTCCAGCCCTAGGACAGTTGGGCCAGCCAAGCCCCTGGGTCAATTGCTCATTCTTTTATCCCAGAAACACTAAACAAAACTCTTTTCTGTATGTGCTTTGAAGTGAAAAATATTGGAAAGCACTTATTTAAGAGTCAGAGAAGTAGAATAATTGATGAGACTCTTAAACATCATTGTTATATGATGTTTATATTATGTTATGTATGTTTATCATAGGGAGCTCTGGTGGCGTAGTGCCTAAAGCACTTGACTGCTAACCAGAAGGCTGGTGGTTCAAACCCACCAGCCACTCCTCAGAAGGAAGGTTGGGCAATATACTTCCATAGTGATACTGCCTCGGAAACCCAAGGAAGGGTTGCTAGAGTCAGGACCCACTCAACGGCACATAACAACAACAACAACATGTTTATCATATATGTTATATGATGGCTGTATTATAGCCATATGATTACTTGGCTATATTTATACCACAAGTTAATTATAGCCCCTGAAAAATGGCAGCTTACAATAAAAAAAAAAAGGCTTGGATACTTACACAGGGTAAAATGCCAAGTATAATCACAGCTTCAGGAACTTGGGAAGCAATTTTAGATTTCAAGAATATTCACTGTATGCCTAATAGACGCCAACAATGTTGCTAGCTACTTCCTTTTTTTTTTTTTTTCCATTAAAAAACTGTTTTATTGTGGTAACAGTATATACAACAAACCATGTGTCAATTCAACATTTTTCACAGGTACCTTTCAGTGACATTCATTATGTTGTGCAACCATCACCACTGTCCATTTCCAAATTATTCTACTACCATTAACAGGCACTCAGAACCCCCTGAGCTAAGACTCCTCATTCACCCCTCCCTCTCGCCACCTGTAACTACTTACCCACATAAATGTTTGTCTCTATACTAATTTGCCTATTTCATATAAGTGGGACCACATAAAGTTTGTCCTTTCATAACTGAAATATTTCACTAATGATTTCAAGGTTTATCCATGTTGTAGCATGTAGCAGGACTTTGTTTTTACAGCAAAGTCCATTACGTCTTTAGTCAAGCTTGTATTTGTTTTCTTTCAGCTACTTTCATTACATTAAAGTCTGAGTGATCTGGAGGACGTTGGAAGATAAAAGCCTAATTTGACTCTCAGGTAGTACTTATCGAAAATGGTCTGCTGAAGGTGATTCTAAGCTAAGGCCCTTCCTTGCAGGGGCAGAAGAGTGTCCATATAATGAAGGCATACAGGAGGTGTTCATATAGGAGGTGCCAGCTGTCTAGCTGGTTGAAATAATCTCAGTCTAGATTACAGTTATAATTTACCTGAGTGAGACCTCTGTTTTGCAGGGGTTTTTCTAGCAGCCGAGGTCACTAAAGAGAACTAAAAATTGTATCCATTTTCCCACATCTCCCAAATCTTAATTCTGTGAGTGGTAGCAAGAAAATAATGCATCTTTGTTCCTTACCATTAATCTCACAACCTTGCAGTTCTAATCGAAGGGTAGGTCTGTTATAGGATTTAGTTGGAGATATCCTAACATATCTAGCCACAATAGGTGGGTCAAACTGGTTGTCTTTTATTGTAGAGGCATCTGAATTGCCAACAAAATACTAGAAGAAAACAGAAAGGCTTAGTTATAAAACAATTTTCTCTAAAGTGATTTCATAATAAACAATTTAATATCAATATTGCAATATTAAGTTCTCATGTAACCTGATCAAATCAATTTGGTCTTAAAAAATAATTGGGGAGACTTCCATTTCTGGAAAGATGGCATATTCTATTCTTCCTGTTAAGTACAACTAACAACTGTGAACATTATATATAAAATAGACATAAGCAGACTCAAGGGAAACTAAGGAGAATAGATTGAATTGAATGAAAATTATAATACAACATGTCAGAATTTGTGAGAAACAGCTAAACATGTTGAAAGGGAAATTTATAGCACTATATGGTTGGGCAATCCTACTTCCATAGCGATACTGCCTCGGAAACCCAAGGAGGGGTCACTATGAGTCGGGGCCGACTCGACGGCAAACAACAACAATATGCATACATTAGTAAAGGAGAAAAGCCCAAAATGAATAACCTAAGTTCCCACCTTTAGAAACTAAAAAAGAAGAGCAACATAACTTAAAATGAGCAGAACAGAGGAAATAATAAGGCTAAGAGCAGAAATAAGTAAAATTGAAAATATAAAAATGATAAAGAAAATCAATGAAACAAAGCTAGTTTTCTAAAAAGATCAATTAAAATGGACACACTGTAAGACTGACAAAGAAAAAAGAGGCAATGTTAATTACCAATAAGGAATGAAACAGCAATATATTTCTACTGATCCTGCAGACATCAAAAGAATAAGATAATTCTGCAAACAACTCTGCACATGTAAACTTAACAATTTGGAGGAAATGGACCAATTCTTGAAAAACACAACCTATTCCGACTCACCCAACATGAAATTGATCATTTGTGTAGTCCTATTACTGTTAAAGAAATCGAAATTGTAACTTAAATATTCCCCAAAAGAAATATTCAGGCCCAGATGGTTTCACTGGTGAATTCTACCAACATTTAAAGAAGATTTAATACCAATTATACACAGCTTCTTGCAGAAAATAGAACAGGAGAAGACTGCTTCTCAATTTATTTATGACATATCACCCTGATAAGGAGCTGTGGTGGTGTACTGGTGGGTTTATTTGTTTGTACTCTTTGATTTTGATCACCCTGATATCAAAATCAAAGCACATAAACAAATAAACACACCAGTATCCCTCATGTATACACATGTAAAAATTTTTAAACTATAGATTCTAACTACCATGTGTGTTGTCTCTCCAATATTGATTAGAGAGAACCATGACTTAAGATTTTCATGACCCATTCTAAGGTATGTTACAAATAATTCATTACTAGAAATAGTAATTTCTTTTTAAACTCAACTCACTGCCATCGAGTTAATTCAACTCATAGTGACCCTCATTATGTTTCCAAAGCTGTAAATCTTTATGGAAGTAGATTGCCCCATCTTCCTACTGTGCAGCAGCTGATGGATTTGAACTGCTGACCTTCTGGTTAGCAGCCAAATGCTTTATTCACTATGTCACCAGAGCTCCTTAAATAAAACTGGCTGCTGAAACCCAGGAATGAACCAAGGACCTTTATGTGTCACTAGAAAATAGTAAGGATTTACAAAGAAAATAAATGGAAATAGATTCAAGATGATTAGTATAATAACGATAGAGGGACTCCTTTGCATTCAGGAGTCATTTGGGGTAGGGGTTTAGGATGGAAATGGGAGGAGTGAGGGCAAATATGACTGGGTCATTAGGAATAACCCTGGCTGAGCTCCCAGAAGATCCAGCAGGAAATGTCATTCCTCAGGCATGAGATTTTGTTTTGTTGTTATGTGCCGTCGAGTCAAACCCGACTCATAGCGACTCCTCCTTGGGTTTCCGAGGCAGTATCACTACGGAAGTAGGATGGCCCAACCT